CCCCACGTGTCGAACGTGGCTTTCCCAAAGGCGCCCCGCTTCTCTCCACTGAGGTCCTTGTCGCCATAGTCAGGATCCTCTGTTCTATGGGTGGCTTAAGGTTCTTTAAGTGAATTTATTTTCCTTTCCTCAAAAAATATAATCGAAAAAAAAGTTTTATACCAGCTCTGTAGATGGAAAGTCAATATCACCTGCCAGGGTTAGAAAATATTGGAATGGAAATGAGTCGTGTCTAGAAAATGCAAAACTCTAGAGAAGGACAACAGATGAGTGACCAGCAGGGTAGGAAGGAGGGGGAATTGTCAAGGGGGGGGAAGGGAAGTTTGGGGGGTCATGGATATTGGTTCTTGTTATGATGGAGGTCAGAGATTATAGGTTTGTCAAAAATCACCCTAGTGGGCTTTTTATTTTTGTACCAGAGATTGAACCCAGGGAAGCTTTATCCTTGAGCTGTATCTCCAGCCCTTTTTATTTTTTATTTTGAGACAGGATCTCACTAAGGATAGTGTCTAGGGTCTCAGATAAGTTGCTGAAGCTGGCCTTGAACTTGCCATCCTCCTGCCTCAGCCTCCTGAGTTGCTGGGTTACAAGCATGTGCCATTGTGCCTGGCTTGCCCTATTGTAGCCTTAAAATTAGAGAATTTTATTGCATGCACAATTCACTTTTAAAAAAGAAACAAAAATTCCACCTTAGCTCCAAATCTGAGGCTGCTTATCTGTTAAAATTAGCCACTGTGGGAGAGCAACTCACAGAGGAACACAGATTGGTCCCTTCCCTTCCCTGAGGAAGCCTGGAATAACACAATTAAGTAAGATGTAAATCCAGTTCTTTATTGTACTGGCCACATCGCAAGGTCTCAAGAGCCACACAGGCCTTGGGTACCATGTTGGCGGACGTCAAGCATTCCATCCTCCCAGAAAGTTCTGGGAGAGGATTTTCTTGATGCTTCCACTTGAAAACCATCATCCCTCCCTTCCCCTGCTTCTGGAAGCACTGGGTTTGACCTCAGCTCTGTGTCTTTCCACTCTGACTTCTTATGTGCGCCCGATGCCAGATGGTGGAAGCTTCTGCTTTCTGTAATTCTTTCTGAGAGCCCAGGGTGGCGGGATCCCAGGGCTTTAGACTGCAGGATTCTAAGGATCCGAAGCCCTCTGGATCAAACATTTCCAGAGGTTCAGATTCAAACCTCATTCTTTGCTCCTGGGCGGTGGAAGTCCCAGGATTTGGAGAGCTGCCAAGGCCCCACTGGGGCTGTTCCTCTCTGAGGCTCAGGCCTGTCGCTACCCACCCCCACCCCAAGACTGTTTACCCCCTCAATCTGTGCTCAGTGACCTCAGGTGAGTGTGTGGGATCTCTGGGGATCTGGGCAGGAAGCCCCACAGTTGCTTTATACAGTCCTGTGTTAGGGATTCAGCATGTGTCCCCAAAGTTCATATATTGTAGCATTAACCTCCAGTGTGGTGGTGACTGAAGATGGGACCTTCAGGAGGTGATTAGGGTTAGGTGAGATCCTGGGGACCAGCCTTCATGATGGGATTAGCAGCCTTACAAGAAGAGTGGGAGGAGGCTCTGCCCCCCACCCCCACTCACCCCAGTCTGCAGCTCCTGGCTGCTGGGCACCTGCTACCCAGCCAGGCACCAACCTCCCTTGCCCAGCCTTCAGATGAAACCGCACAAGAGACCCTGGGAGAGTCCCAAGGGCCACCTTCGCCATTGCCCCATGGTCAGGTGGTGAGCTTGGGACTGTCCTCCCCCAGTGCCCTCCTCCTCCTCCTCTTCTCCTTTTCCTCTTCTTTCTTTCAGTAGACATACTACAGTAGATAGTCTTGTTAGGTCTTTTGAGTCTGCACTAATTGCTTTGGGTCAGTTTCTGAAAGCAAAGTACTGACCTCTTGATACAGCATTTAAATTTGTTTGGTCTTGTTTGGAAATATGACTGTCATCTTCCAGAAGGGGCATCTCCATCTCATGTCCACCCGCCGGGTTCAGAGGGACATGTCTGGGATGAATTGTCTTTGACTCTGCTGCCTTGTTTCTTTTCTCATGGATTATCTGAAATGTGTCTTATGCTTTTAAAAATACGCTATATGTTTTCAAGGCACAAAATCCCAAAGATATAAAACCTATGTTGTAAAAGCTTTTATCCCTCCCCGTTCCCTTGTCACCTCTAATTGCCACCAAGGAATCAGTTTCTGTTGGGTCCTCCCAGAAAAGATCAGACATGAGTTAACACTTGCACCCTTTAAATCAAATAAATCAAAACAGAACAGAACCCCGAGGTGCACGGGGTGCACGGGAGATGGGGAGCGGTCATCTGAGCTGATTCCATCTTGGTTTCGAAGGAGTGGAATGAAGAGTGCCAAGGTCAGGTTCCGGAGGAGGCAGGACCCACACTCTGAACCACAGGCCTGTCAACTGGGCGAGTGCTGCTGCTACTCATGTGCTGGGTCAGGATAAAGCCACCACGACGTCCAGCATCCTGGCCTAAGTCAATAGGACGTGTCACGTTCCTCAGCAAACAACCTGTTATCCAAGTCAGTTAATGACAGTTGGCTCACCTTCTTATTATCTGGACTCTCTTTTCCCACGGCGATGCTTTGAATCACTCTGAATTCACAGCAGGTGTTTGTACCAACTCCTTGGACACTGGGGACATCTCTCACATGCCGTTGGCACACAAAGATGCCCAGCGTCCTAGAATCGAAGTGTGTGCCCAAATGTCGTCTCTTCCTGTGGCCTAACCTGGGGTCCTGGAGGCCACCCCTTCTGTCCTCTATCTGCTTCCCCTTCTTCATCTGGAAGTGAACCTGGGTTTTTGTTTTGTGTTGTTTGTTGTTTGCCCAGGAAGAGACATCCTTTGCGCAAGTGTCAGCAGGGCTTTGATCCAGACATCTCAACCATCTCCCAAGCCCTGATTTCAATTATACTCCTCGGAGAAGAATCCAGTCAACACCACTGTTGCTGTTCCCGTTTAGCAACAGGGAGGCTGAGATCTGCAGGGCACCTAGGGCTGTGTTTGCCAAAGTAGGATATTTTAACCTCGCTCTGTTGAGTACACCGCCTACTTCACTCCACATCGGGTGATGTCGGGGCAGGTGTGAGCGCGTGGGACAGCTAGCTCAGAGGATTTGGGCGGCTGAGTGGAGCTTATTTGTATGGTTTCTGATAGGGAACTGACCAATGCAGGGAACATTGTGGGAACATGAAGCTAAGGAACAGCTCTATACCCAGGGCCGACTGTGCTGGCCCTCACTTGCTTTCTTTGAAGAAGCAATTTACCTGCAGCCCTGCCCGGCCTCAGTCAATAGGACATGTCCCATTCCTCAGCAAACAACCTGCTATCTGCTGGAGAAATGCAGGCTTGAAATGCCAGTAAACACACAAGTTACCCTGAAGGGGACACTTTTGTGACTTTTACACAGACCAGGTTCCATAATTCTGGGAAATAAGGATGATTCCCTTTAACCATAAAATCTGTTAGAATAAGTTCTAATTAGAACCCGTCAGCAAGGGCCAAAGGGACCTAGAGTTATCCTGCATCTTTACCATGTAGAGTGGGGACTTGAAATCGGACGTCATCCTGTTGTCAGTCAAAAGTCAAAAAGTGGACCTGGGTGGGGCTCTCAGGAATCTTCCATGGGATCCCCAATAAAACTGGAAAGCAGGAAGGGTCCAGTGTCCTTCTGAGAGGACCCGCTCCTTCCCTTGAGAGTGTCCCCTTTTCCCATCACCTTTTCCTCCCACAGTCAGGGATTGAACCCAGGGGCCCATAACCACTGAGCCGCACCCCCAGCCCTTTTTATTTTTATTTATTTTTTATTTGGAGACAGGGTCTCATTAAGTTGCTTAGAGCTTTGCTAGGTTGTTGAGGCTGGCTTTGAACTCACGTTCCCATCCCTTCTATTAAACTGTGCCTACTGCTCTCAGTGACACATCTGAAATCTTTCCAGCATGATGGCAAGAACTGGTAAGAGAGGACCTCTGTGGCTGCCTCAGCGCTGGGGCAGACTTTTGACCCGCAAGTTTCCTGTCATTTTTGTGACTATTCACATTTTTACTAACTGACCTGTTATAGGAATGGCTTCAGGAAAACCTCCACTGAACTCAACTTAATGTTGTGATGCAAAGGTGCAGAGTCAGAGGTCGCATCTCAGTGCAGATGCATATGATCTTACAATGCCCGGTCCCAGGCCTGAAATGTCAGCATGGAGCTGGAAGCTGGTGTGTGGAGAGTGTTCCATGAGTGTGTCAGTCCCATGGAACTAATAAACATCATGTTATTTTTCTAGGTTTTTATGATGTTTTTGAAATTTTGTCATTTGGGAGTTTCTTTTCTCTTTTTAACCAACTCTTCATTTGTTACTTAAATTCATACTTTTAATTTTGTATTTCTTTTCTTAAAGAAGTCCTCCTATCATGGATGATTATCCATATGTTCACAGGATATTTTGGTTATGTATTTAATTATATTTATGCTGTACATAGAGCTTTGAAACAGATTTTAAATGTAATACTTCCTTACCATTTCTTCATATCTTTAAATGTCCTCTAACTGCATCATTTTTAACGGCTGCATAATATGTCTCATTGGAAAGTGGGAATAATTAAATGTACTATCTCAGAGGGTTATATCATGAGCACTGACGAGAGTTGTCATGTAGAGCTACCGGATATGTAAAAAAACTCAATTAACTTAGCTCTTCCACAGGTCAGACTTACGTATATATAATCAATCCCCTTTTGATGGACATTGGGGTTGTTTCCATGATGAACAACGCTGGGCAATGTTAATTTTTGGTCATATCGTTTGTCGTTTCTCTGCAAATTTCGGGACAGCGGGATACACACGTTTTAAAACTTGCTTATCATTGTGCAGTTAAGAAAATGGAGAGGGGAAGGGGCTTGCCCGAGGTCACTTAGCTAGTTGTTAAGTTGAGACTGGGAACTAGTCCCCGGCCCCTGACTAGTACCTCTTCCAGCAGAGGAAGTCCCAGCTGGAAGAGGGGGAAGGAGAAGAAAGGGAAAGAACCCGGCGCTGCGGCAGAATCCGCGCGGCGGGAAGAGGCTGGAGCCAGATGGGCGGGGCCAGGCGGGCTGCCGGGTCGCGGCGCCGGCTTCACGCGGCCGAAGCTAAGCGGTTGCCCGGCAACCGGGACGGCGCGGCGTTCGAACGGAAGCGAGGAACCAATCAGGAAGTCCGGGGCGAACCATTCCGGCGACGGGGGGGGGGCACGCTCACTTCCCCTTCCTCCGCTCGGGCGGGGCCGTCGGGCAGCCGGGGCCACCTGCTCCGTCGGGGGCGGAGGGCTTCCCGGAGGAAGCCGCTGGGTCCCACGCGGCGCTGGGGCCTCCGCCTCTCGCCAGGTCCGAGCTGTCAGCCTCTCCAGTGCCCGCGACGGAGCAGCCGGACACGCCTAGCGCGGGCTCCAGGTGAGCGCGCGGTGCCGCGGGTGCGAGCCCGGGTCCGAGGCCCTTCACCGAGCGCCTGCTGGGTACGTGGTCCCCGCGCAGCCCCCGCGTCCTGAGTCACAGTGGGGACGCCGAGGCTGAGGCAGAGCCCTAGGCCTTGAGGAGCCACCGGGTGTCCCCGTCCTTCCGCGTCACCTCACAGCCACTGGTGTGGAGAGACCCCAAGACAAGTGGTGGCCACTTTCTGAGCTCCTGAGGACAGGGGCGCGGCTCCTGGAACCCTGGCTGGATCCTCCATGCCCCGGCCCCACCCTGTACCGTCCTTGGGATACCCCTTCTGACACCCGTTTTCCTTCCCCAGCAGCTGGACTCGGGGGTTCGTTTGAGACCCTTGCCCCTAGAGGGTCCCAACTCAGGGTTCATTTGATCCTTGTCCCTAGAGGGCCCCTCTTTGGGGATCAGACGAGGCTGACGTTTCTGGGCTAGATTCTGGGTGGGTGGGCAGCAGATTCCAAGGCTCTGCAAGTCGCTGCTGGCCTCTTGGGAGTCTGCCCCGGGTTGGTGGAAGGTGGGTTGGGACAGTCTCTAAACCAGAGCCACTGGTCATCAGAGACTTTGGAGTGGGGATTGAGGCTTGGACCCTCCCAGGGTGGAGCATCTAATTTAGGTTTGACTCTGCTCAGCCTCCTGGGTATGCCCCTTCCTGCAGGTTACTATTGTAGGTCTCCTTTTGTAGGTGGGGGCTATCACAGACTTGGCCACGCAGGGGTTGGCTCTCAGTCTGTCTTGCTTTCATCTTTGAGGCTTTGACCCATAGACTTATAGGATTTGAATGTCCTGCATCTCTCCCGAAGGGAATTCTTATCCTCTCCTCTGTACACTCCCCCTGGCTTTGGGGAGAGGAACTTGGACACTCAGGAAGAAATCAAGCCACATTCATTCATTCTTTCAACAAATGCCTGTTGACTTCATAGGATCTGGTCTCTTGGCCCGCTTTGCTTTTCTCAGTAATATCTGCTCCACCTTATGCCCTATATACTTTGTCTATTAGCCACTGGAATGTGATGCAGGGCAGGGGCAGGATGAGGCAAGTTAGCACAAAATCTAGGGAGCCCCAAACCTTGGTAATCAAGGTAACTTGATTAACTGGCATCTGCTGACCATTTGCTGTGCGTTCTGCTGGTGGGAGGTCAAGTCAAACAGCCTCTGTGGAGCGCAGCCCTTCTTCCCCCATCTCTGTTCACAGTTATAAGTGCATCCCCTGATTCAGCTGTCCCACTTCTAGACAATGCTATAGGTGCAGTAATGCTGCACCTGCAGTGTGGTTTGTAACAGATGCACAGAACAGATGGATGCTAAGCTGCATGGCACAGGGGCTGATGGGAAATAATTGGACGCTGTGTATGTACTGATGTGGCATCAAGAACAACATATATACTGAGTCAAAGAGCAAGTGAAAACAATATGCACAGCATGATACTGTATGTCTAGGAGAAAGAATGTATGTCCCTACTCGCTTGCGTGTGCCTCAGGTTTCTCTGGAAGGGTACACAACTGTCTGTCTCAGTGGTGCCCGTGAGGAGGAGGGCTGGGGACAGAGGTGGGAGGGAGTTGATTGTTTGGCTTTTTTAAACTTTATTCCCTTTAAAGTTTTTGAGTTTTGAAACATGTGCATTGAAAAAAATCATTAAATATTTATATTTAGTGATTAAGTATAAATAAAATTATGAGATCACTGCCCTGTCTGTGATCTGTCACTGACTTGCTATGTGACTTTGGCAAGTTTCTTCACATCTCTGGGCTGAGATAAAACACCATGATGATGAGGTCAGGCCTAGGCAGAGGGCACTCTAGGACAGGAAGTGGGCTTGGCTCTGGCTCTGTCTCACCCCCACCTTCCCTCCTGTGTGCCAGGTCCCTCCCCAAGGTCTAGCCTGTGATTTCTCCCTCATCCAGACTCCGTTCAAGGCTCCTTTCCCATTTTGCAACCTCAGGTGCAAACTGAGGCCCAGAATATTGAGTTGTGGAGGTGGGCCCATGGGTGGCCCAGGCAGGAGCTCAGTGCCTGAGGCTTCCACACCCACACCCCTCCCACAGCCTGCTCATCTCTCCCTTCCTGAGGTTTGTGCAGGGTTGCTCTGGGCACGGCTGACTGCTGGGCAGGCCAGGACAGGAGCGTCAGGAAGACTCCAGAAATAGCCTGGGACCTGGCATGGCCCTGGAGGATGCCCAGCGGGTGTCTCTGACCTGGACAGCTGGGCTGAAATGGAGCTGGGCTGCCCCACTGGCTGGCCCCTGTGCATTGCCTGGAGCCTTCCTGATCCTCCTCTGGGGCAGGCAAGGGCCTCCCTGTCACTACCCAGTCTGGGCCAGAAGGAGAGAAGCAGGTGGAGGGAAGGGGGAGGGGAGGGTGTAGAGTGTCATAAAAATGACAAACATCAGAAGCCACACCTCCCAGCCTTGAAAGAAGGGCGAAAATCACTAATACCTCCTGAGCACTTACTGTGTACTCGGGACTCTACAAGTATGAACACATTTCATTCCCTCATCTTCTTGTGGAGTCGCTGCTGATACCATTTCTGTCTTGCAGAGGGACAGTGCGAGAGGGGTTTAAAACTTGCACAAGGTCACCTAGAAGTGGAATTCGAATCTAGAAAGCCTGTGGAGTTCCAGATTGCACGCTTTTGCTCTCCCATTTGCTTCTATATAAAACTGACCACCTTAACTGCTTTTTAAGTGGTGCAGTTCAGTGACATTAGGTACATTCACATTTTGTTGAAAGTATCAACACCTTCCACCACCAGAACTTTTCCCAAACTGAAACTCCATGCCCAATAACACTGACTTCCCATTTCCTACATTTAAAAAAAATATATATATATATATATTTTAATAATAGATGGACATAATACCTTTATTTTATTTTTATGTGGTGCTAAGAATTGAACCCAATGCCTTATGTGCGAGTGCTCTACCACCGAGCCCCAGCCCCAGCCCTGATTTCCTCCATTTTTAATATATATATCTCACCACATTTTGCTTATCCCTTCCTTCATTCATTGATGGGCACTTGGGTCTCTTCCACCTTTTTTTTTTTTTTTTGTGGGTACTGGGGATTGAACTCAGGAGCACTCAACCACTAATCCACATCCCCAGCCTTATTTTCCTAGTTTTAAAAAATTATTAATTAATTAAAATTAGATATGTATGCAGCAGAATGCATTTTGATTCATTGTACACAATTGCAGCACAACTTTTCATTTCTGTGGTTGTACACGATGTAACATCATACCATATGTACCTATGGTAATGATGTCCATCTCATTCCACCATCTTTCCTGCCTGAATATTCCCTCTTCACCCCTCCCTCACCTTTGCCCAATCAAAGTTTCTCCACACGCCCTCCCCCCATTATGGATCAACATTCACTTATCAGGGAGAACATTCAGCCTTTGGTTTTTTGGGATTGGCTTACTTCGCTTAGCATGGTATTCTCCAACTCCACCCATTCTTCTGCAAATGCCATTTTTATTCCATTTTAATGCAGAATAATATTCCATTGTGGGTATATATACTGCAGTTTCTTTATCCATTCATCTACTGAAGGGCATCGAGGTTGGTTCCACAGTTTAGCTATTGAGCTGCTATGAACATTGATGTGGCTGCATCACTATCGTGTGCTGATTTTAAGTCCTTCGGTATAGATTGAGGAGTGGGATAGCTGGGTCAAATGGTGCTTCCATTCCAAGTTTTCCAAGGAATCTCCACACTGCTTTCCAAAGTTGTTGCACCAATTTGCAGTCCCACCAGCAGTGTATGAGTGTGCCTTTCCCCCACATCCTCGCCAACACTTATTGTTGTCTGTACTCTTAATGGCTGCCATTCTGAATTACTAGAAATGTTGAACATTTTCTCATATATTTGTTGATTGAATGTATATCTTTTTCTGAGAATTGTCTGTTCAGCTCCTTAGCCCATTTATTGATTGGGTGGGGTTTTTGTTTGGTTTGTTTTAGTGTTAAGTTTTTTCGTTCTTTATATATCCTGGAGATTGGTGCTCTATCTGACATGCGTGTGACAAAAATTTGGTCCCAAAATGTAGGCTGTCTCTTCACCTCATTGATTGTTTCTTTTGTGGAGAAGAAGCTTTATAGTTTGAGTCCATCCCCCAGCCCTATTTTGTATTTTATTTAGAGACAGGATCTCACTGAGCTGCTTAGCACTTCACCGTTACTGAGGCTGGCTTTGAACTTGCGATCCTCCTGTCTCAGCCTCCTGGGCCACTGGAGCCTCTTTCACCTTTTAGTGATGTAATAATGATGCTATGGGCGAGGGTGTACAGATACTCCTTTAAGTCTCTGTTTTGATTTTTTGGGGTATACACTCAGAAGCAGAATTGAGGGATGATACTATGGCAATTTTCTGTTTAATTTTTTTTTCTTTTTGGTATTGAGGATTGAACCCAGGGGTGCTTGACCAATGAGCCACATCCTCAGCTCTTTTTATATTTTATTTAGAGACAGGGTCTCCCTAAGTTACTTAGGGCCTTGCTGAGGTTGGCTTTGAACTCAGTCCTCCTGCCTTGGCTTCCCAAGCAGCTGGGATTACAGAGCGCGACATTGCGCATGCTGTTATTTTATTTATTTATTTATTTATTTTTTGAGGAACTGCATACTGGTTTTCCCAGCACTGTACCATTTTAGATCCCCAAAACCAGTGCGCAAGGGTCTAATTTCTCCAGGTCCTCATCAACCCTTGGTGTTGTCTGTTGGTATATTTTTGGATAATGACTGTCCTAATGGCTGTAAGGTGGTGTCTCCTGGCTTTGATTTGCATTTGCCTAGTGATAGGTGCTTTGAGCATCTTGTCTTGTACTCCTGGCTGCTTGTGTGTCTGTGGAGGGTGTCTGGTCAAAGCACTCCCTGGTCCTACTGTTCCCGTGCTGCTCTTTGACTTGCCGTCTCTGCAGCTGTGCTCGCTGTTCTGGGCTGATGGAGGCCTCGCCCAGGAGCTGAGCCCTGGAGACCTGCGGGATGGGACAGTGAGCACAGCTCACACCTTGGTGGCAGTTGCCACACACAGGCCTCGTGTTGGGTGGGAGTCACTGTTGGACCCTGGGTGACCGTGGGGAAACTGAGGCGTGGGACGGCGAGGAACTTACTGAGGTCTCAGCTAGTTGCTGATGGGCTGGGACTGGAGCCCAAGCAGGTTGGTTCTGGAGTCCCTGCGGCACCAACAGAGGGGACAGGGCTGGGCGGGTGGGGCGCTGCCCACAGCAGAGGGTTTTGGTTGGGTTGGTGTCCGTGGAGGAAGAAACGGGCTTGACCAGCAGTGGCCAGGGTCCCCCTGCAGTGGAGGAGACCTGGGGCCAGGGGGCAGGTCTGGGAAGGCCAGCCGCAAGGTGGGGGTGGGAGGGGCTGGTGGCGAGGGGCCTGGTCGCTTTGTTCCCTCCCACAGGTAATTATTAATTATAAAGGGAAACTTTATAAATATAAAAATGTTCCAGGGGAAACCTGGCTGGCATTTCCTCGCCCAGTTAATCAGTCATCGCTGAGGACAAACTGCTGTCAGACGCTCCTGACAGGATGCACCAAAGTCACAAGAGCACTTCCGTGTCATTCCTGACCGCCTTTTGGTTTATTCCCGTCTTCATTTTTAACTGAGGTGCGACTGACAAGCAGAGAAGCTGTGTGCATTTAATGTGCTCATCTAGATGGTGGCCCAGCTCCCAGTTCAGCCCCTTGGCTGAACGTCACTCTGTTTCCTCTTGTGTTTGGTCTCCAGAGGGAGAAAATATGGAAGGGTGTGGCGGAGCCCAGTGGGAGCGACACATAAATGAACATCTAAAGTGACCGGGTGTGTGAATGCTTGGAAGGGAAGAAAAGGGGTGAGTGCACTGGTAGAAGCTGCTTGGGGTGGGCATAGAGGCCTCTCTGAGAAGCTGGCATTTGAAGTGAGATCTGAGGTTATGGAGTGAGAGATTGCAGACAGGGAGCAAGTGGCGCAAAGGCCCTGAGGCAGGAAAGAACTCGGCACCTTCAGGGCCAGCAGGGTGGGCTCTGTGGCTGGAGTGGGAAAGAGGCTGGCGATAAGGTGGGAGTGGTAAGCAAGTTCTCAGTCCTGGGGGGCTGGAGAGCTGCATCCTTGACCACAGAAAGGTTTCAGCCCAGCAGTGACGAGGTCTGGCTTGTTGGGAAAACATTGCCATTATTTTCCCCATTTTACAACTAAGGAAATTGGGGCCTGGAACTATAGCCTGGGTGTACTTCTGAAGGTGGCCATCCTTCTGGGACCCAGACAAAGAGGCTGTGGATTCTTTAGGGGTTCCTTGGGGGATACATCTGATGAGTGGCCAAAGCCCAAGGTTGCAAACTCTTCTTCCTCCCCCGGACCCCCCAACCCAAGCCTGGGCTCAAATCCTGGCTCTGCTGTTTGCCTGCTGTGTGGCCTTGAACAGGTGGCCTCACTTCTCTGTGCCTCAGTTTTCTTATCTGCAAAACAGGCATAATGGTAGTACCTGCCTCAGAAGAGTGAGAATGAGTGTGAGTGGGTGTGAGACAGGTAAGTGAACCTGTGTTGGAGTCTAGAACAGTGCCTGGAGCAGGGGCCAAGGGGAGGAGGCTGGCTCTTCCCTGTGTTGTGGGAATCCTCTGTTGCTCTGTGTCCTACTACCAGTGCCTCAGGGGTTCCTCTCCCTGTCACCTACTGCTGCCTCAGTGGAGGACCAAGCAGGGAGCCTGTGCGCCATTGTTGGGGGCAATGGTCTTACATCCAGTCCCCTAAAATTGAGGACTAGAGCAAAGCTGACTTCCTGCCTCCTAGTGCCCCCGCTCAGTTCTGGCCCAGCCTCACCCAGACACAGAAATGGACCCGACTCCTCTGGCCTTTCCCCCTCTGAGGCCTGCGGACACCTCTTTCCCTGGGCCTCGGGATCCCAGTGGAAAACAGCCTAATCTAGCACCCACCTGGGTGGCACAAGGGGCTCAGGGTGGCTGAGGGGACACAGCCATCGCCCTCTCAGTGCCCCAGCCTCTTCTGGAAAATAGGGTCACAGAGTGCCTGCCTCCCGGAGGCCTGGGGGTTTGAGTAACTGCGGTGCCTGGCCTTGAACTCCAGCACGGTCACTATTACGGCTCTGCCCATGTCTCCTGTTTTGACAAAGCCGCTGTGGGCATGCCCTGGCCCTTGGAGCTCACACTGGCCTGTCCCTCAATGTCCGAGTCTCCTCGTTCATAGACTAGAGGGGGCAGCAACCCCAGAGCTGCCGGGGAGAAGGAGTTGATCTGGGGGAAGTGCCCAGGTTGGTCGGCCTGGGGGACTGGGCGGAGGCTGGGACGCCTCAGTTTTCCATTCCTGCGTCCACTGGGGATAACAGTGGAGCTGACCTCATCGCGTCCCGTCCGGGAGGGAGCGTCAAGTGGGTTAATTAACCCAGGAAAGCCACTTTCGCAGCCCTGCACGGGGAAAGGACTCAGGGTGGCTGAGACTGAGGGGGGGCGCGGTTGGCCACCCCTAACCTCGGTGCTTCCTGGCAGCGTCAAAGGGGCTTGAACGTCGCCCCACGTGCTGTGGGCTGTCCCGAGGAGGAGCTCCCTGCCGTCCTGGCACCCAGCCAGCTGTCAGTGCGCTGGGGCTCGGCTCCAGCCCCTGCCTGGCTTACTTCCCCCTTTTGGGTAATACCCGGGCTGGCGGGTTCACCTGCCCGCAGCCACCGGAAGTTGCGCAAAGGCGGGTAACCTGAGCCCCAGGTGGGCCGGCAGGAGTGCAGCAACGGGCAGCAACAGCGCAGCCAGGTAGGTGCTGGCAGGGGTGGGAGAGGGTCCTCTGGCCCTGGTGGGGGCAACCCCCGTGCTCTTCCCTCCCCCATTGGCAGGGACCTCGAGGGCAGGTGCTCCCCTTCAGACTTAAAGGGGTCGCAGGACTCGTGTTGTCAGTCCCCTCATTTGAGATAAAGGTCGACCCAGGTTCAGAGAGGGCAGCCAGTTTTGGGTGTCACACAGCATGCCGCTTCACTAGAGGACTTCACTGCTAGAGGATTTCCCAGAAGTGAGGGGGAGCAGCTGCCAATCTTGGAACCCCGGTCTCCCCACCCATTCCATGGCCTCCTAAGGGTAACGCAGGCTGGGGAAGGAGAAGGGGCTGGGGAGCGTGGGCCAGGTGGCCTGCGAGGCCCAGGGAGGAGAAGGGTTTGTTGGGTTTTGTGGGCAGCATTCGAAAAATCCACGGGTGGGGCCTTGGGTGGTGGGAGGAGGCCACAGAGAGGACATAGTTCCACCTGGTGATTGGGGCCAAGGCTTCTCCTCACAGGGGTCACCGTGACAGGGGACTGTGCAGGTCTGCCCACCGATTAACCTCTGTTTTGTGCGCCTCTGTTCATGACCCTTGTGGAGCAGGCTTCTGGGGGCTGGTGTCTGATGTTCAGAGTCCTAACACAGGACAGTGAGTGGAGGGCCACCCTTTCCCCAGGTGCTGCAGACATTCTTGACCTGTCATCTCTTCTTCTCAGAGCGACCTGACTCCCCAGGGAGGTCTATTTTTAGCTGCAGGTCACAGATAAGGAAACCTGGTGTGTGGAGAGGCCGGTGACTTGCCCGAAGCCATCTCAGGGCAAGCACCAAGGTGGGTGGGTGAGCACCGGCCCTGGACCAGTGCTCCAAAGCTGGGCTTGGTGACTCGCTCAGCTGGAGGGGACCCTGGGGTCAGCAGGTTCGGTCAGAGGAAGTGGGTGTCAGAGTGGAGCTCCAGAGGGGCTTCTGACCTGGCCCTGCTCATCTGACCTCCTTCCTCCCCGCTTCCCAGTTGGTGCTTGGGAGGGATCCGCCTCTGCCACCAACGGGTTTGACTGGTTTGGGTGGCAGCAGCCGATGGGGAGTGGGGGAGCGGGGCAGAGTCTGGCCACCTCAACACAGCTGGGAGGGCCGCTCCTCCCTCAGACCTTCCTGGGGTTCCCTCCTGAGTGGGGCTGGCCTCCCCTTCCCACCTGCCCATTCCTTCTCCCTCCGGGGCAGCGCTGGCTGTGGGGCCAGCCGGGGAGGTTGTACTCCAACACTGCTGCTGAGGTCTCAAGCTGGAGACTGGGGTGAGGGGGAGCAGATATGTTCGCAGCCATGTTTTGTGTGTCCAGAATGGGCGGTGTTTTAAAATTCCGTATTACTGGAGATGCAGAGTTAAGAAAGTAGACTTTGCGTGCACTTGTGCCTTTCGTGCCTGCCGAGGGCTTGGGGTGTCCCTCTGTGCTTCATCTCCGTCTGCGTTCACACCTGGCTCCCGTGTACCTTTTGATTCAATGAATACTCACATGGGCTGCGAGCCGTACCTGAAGGTGAGCCTCCCGGTGCAGGGGCCACTGGCCACGCAGCTCTTGAGGACTTGAAATGATGCTATTGTGATTCAGGAGTTGAATTTAAGTTTTTATGTAATTTGAATTTTTGGTAAAGGTTGAATAGACCCATGGGGCTAGTGGCTACTTAATTGGACAGGGTCTAGATGGCCTGAACTGCAGATCCCTTTGGGGACCTAGACTAAATGCCTACCCTGTGTTTTGCAGATGAAAAGTTTTGGGACTTGGTAGGTGGATTTTCTTCTGCTCCATCTCCAAGGGCCCTGGAAGGACAGGGGAAAGTGGTGAACCTTGGGCCCTGGGTCTGTCTTGGAAACGGGGACAGGGCTAGTTTATCCCTGGGACATGAGGCCCTCATGTATGTACGAGTGGCCGTGTGGATACCTGTGCACTCAGGTGTGGGTCCTCTAGCCTGAGAGTGCCTGCCCTTCCAGCACCTGCTGGGTCCCCTGCTGGGTCCCCTGTACAGGGTCTGCTGGGTCCCTTGTACAGGGCTGTGTGACCTTGGAGCAGCATTACTCAGGGTTGACAGGATCATATCAGCCGGAGTCCCACACTGGAGGCTGACTGGTTCTGAACTCCTCTGGGGTAGGGGTGGGGATTTTCTGCTCCTCCCCTACAGCTCAGCTCCCACGCCTGGGGCATGGCGTGTCTAGGCAGGTGAATGGCACAGAGTAGCTTCCTGCCCGGGAGGGTGAGGGGTGGAGGTGGTACCAGGCTCCTGTGGGCAGTCCAGGTGCAGAGGGACTAGAGCCCTTTCTCTTGGTCACTTAATCTCAACACCCTTGTCACCAGCACCTCCCTGCTTGGAGGCAAGGCAGAGCCTGGATTAGCTTAAGCAAGTTGGTTGCCTCCCTGAACTTCAGTTTCCCCATCCACAAAATGGGACCATTGACAGGACGCTGAGGTTCCGCCTGCTGGTCCCGTCACAGAGCCTGGAGCCTGCTTTGCTCCCTTGAAGGTGGGCCTGGCCCTGTCTGTCTTCTCTTGACACCTTTTCTCTCTCTGCCAGGGCTGATGCGGCCCTGCCAGAGGGAGGTGATATGGGTGGGGCAATGGGCCTTCAGCTGTTGCTCGCTGCCTGATGATTGGCTCCCGGCGGGGCGGGGCGTGGCCTTCAGCTTATAATAAGACGGGCGGGCGTCTCATCCTCGCGCAGCCGGGTGAGCCTTTGTCTGAGCGCGCTCTGCCCCTTCTCTTTCCTTTCCCCAGCCATTGCCGGCGTCCAGCTGCCAACTCTGTGCTGGGATCCCTGTCTCCCCTTTCTCTGGTCCGCCCCAACGCGTGCCCTCGGGGGATGTAGTGGCCATGCCGGTGGACACGCTGAGCCCCGCGGCGGCCGCCGCCCCCTCCTTACCTTTTCGCCTGCGGACCAAGGTTCCCGGCTACCTCCTGCGGAGGCCAGCGGACGGCGGAGCGCGGAAACCCAGTGCCGTGGAGCGCCTGGAGGCCGACAAGGCCAAGTACGTCAAGAGCCTGCACGTAGCGAACACCCGCCAGGAACCGGTGCAGCCTTTGCTGTCCAAACAGCCGCTCTTCAGCCCCGGGACTCGCCGCACGGTGCTCACGCCTAGCCGCCGCGCCCTGCCCGGCCCTGGTCGCCGGCCCCAGCTGGACCTGGACATCCTTAGCAGTCTCATCAATTTGTGTGACAGTCCTGTGTTACCTGCCGAGGCCAGCCGTACCCCCGGACGGGCAGAGGGAGCCTTCCAGCACCCCCCAGCCACACCTCCGCGCCCACCATCCAGCACAGCCGCGGTCCGCCGAGTGGACGTTCGCCCGCTGCCTGCCTCACCCGCCCGGCCTTGCCCATCACCTGGCACCACCGCCGCCTCCAGCCCAGGCCGGCCACCGGGTTTGCAACGCTCCAAGTCGGACTTGAGTGAGCGCTTCTCCAGGGCAGCTGCCGACCTTGAGCGCTTTTTTAACTTCTGTGGTCTGGATCCAGAGGAGGCGCGGGGGTTGGGGGTGGCCCACCTGGCACGGGCCAGCTCGGACATCGTGTCCCTGGCGGGGCCCAGTGCTGGGCCGGGCAGCTCTGAGGGGGGCTGTTCCCACCGCAGCTCTGCCACTGTGGAGGAGCGGACCCAGGAGCGGGTCCCCTATGGCGTGTCAGTGGTAGAACGCAATGCCCGCGTGATCAAGTGGCTCTATGGGTTGCGGCAGGCACGGGAGAGCCCAGCAGCCGAGGGCTAGCCCTCTAGGACTCGAAATTCACCACAGGACAGATCTTGGAGAGGCTCTTGGCCCTTGACCTCTCCTGCATCCTTTACCTGGGTCTCTGGACAGACCAGAGGCAGCTTCCTTGTTTGAACTTGGTGTAGAGGCAGAAGCTTCCATCTAGACCAGGATCCTCTGGCAAGGACTGATCCTGGAGAGGGTTGCTCTTGGCCTTGGACCCTCCTCCCTTCATACAAGGGTTCTGACATGGGCAAAACCCTTGCTTGGTTCCTGTGCTGGGGCTGGCATCTGGCCATTTAGCCCTCCCCATTGGGAGTGGGGGACCGAGGGATGTGCCAAGCCTGTCTACCCAGTGACTCTGTTTCCTCTTTCCTTCCTTGTCTTCTGTCCCTTGTTGACTTCCTCTTCCTTACCCAGTGGGCCCTGGCTTCCTGGGAACTCACCCTGGGGTGGCGGGTGGCCGGGAGGAAGGGGCCTATCTGCTGCTCTTCCTGCTCCTTGGCAGCTGGCCGAGGTGGGTAGGCTGCGGGGCCGGTTGGGGTCTGCACTGCTCTGACTTCCCTCCCTTTGGTTAATAAATGCTTGTTTCTTGAGGCTGGGCCTTCAGACTCTTCTGTGTTCACAGGGGGAAGGCGGAGGAAGCTTCAGAGTGAGGAGGTCAGTGGCTGGCTTGAGCTTGCCCCAGGAAGGGTCCTCAGAACGCCTTATTCATAGAGGAGGAGACAGATCCAGCCAGTGAGAGGGGACAGAGCTGGGACAGGACCACAGCCTTCCCCTGCACCAGGAAGTGGGCTGGTGGTAGAAGGCCTGGCAGCCTTGAATGTCCCCCCATCCCCACCCTGCCGAGTTCCCAAGGGGGCAGGACTCTCAGAGAGGGCAAGCACTGGATTCAGGGTCACATGGGCCACAGAGTGTGATGGGAAGTTGGAGTACTTGGAAGAGGAGGTACTTGAGGTGGACAGTATAGCATGGGTGGCCTTACCTCTAACTCTGGGTGATCCTGGATATACCAGTCCTCCTCCTGGGCCTCAGAGGGGGAGCCAGGGGGGCAGACCCTAGTTGGGACTGTGTTGTATTCTTGTATTCTGGGCCCTTCATGCTGTATCCTAATACTTGGGGGCCGGGCGGGAGGAGCTGGCCCTGTGCTGTGAGGTCCCAGCCCCTCCTAGTCTCCTTTCAGGTTAGCTACCTGCCAGGAAACCACTCTTGCCTGGTGGACTGGCTAGGGCCAGGCACACAGAGAGCGACATCCTGGGGGGGCCAGCCTGCCCCAGGGTGGGAGTCGGGGGCTGGGCAGTGTTTCCTCCTGCACAAGCTGCCTGGGCTGCTGCACTCAGGAACAGGAAGCGCTCATGGGGGCTCTGGTGACAGGTTTGATGTAGGTTTTATTTTAGGCATAAAGAGGAGATTTCCGCTGGGCTGTTGACAGATATCCAGATCAGCCCAGCTGTCTGTCCGCCCTGGCCACAACCTGGCCCCTGTTACCTGGGTCGTGCTGCGTGGTTTGGGAAAGAAGGGGTGATTAGGTAATAGAAGATGATGGAGTTTGAGCTCACGAGAGTGGGGACTGAGGCATGAGGAGGACTGTGACCTGCCACAGGTGCCCCACAAGGTGGACAGTGCAGGAACTGGGCCCCTGGATCCCCATCAAAAAGAGAGATGGGACCAGTGAGACCAGGCCACAAAGGTGGCTCCCCTTGAGGAGTGAGAGACCAGCCCATCAGGAGCCCTGCTGACCTGCTGGTCCTCGCCCCTTGCTACCCCAGAAGGCGGTGGGCTTGCTGCCTGTCACATACGAAGGACTGAGGCGCAGACTGGTGGGGGCCCCTGGCTCCTGAGGGTGGCAGGTGCTGGGCTCATCCTCTCACTGAATTCTCAGGGTGACCTTTGGAGAGCGGGTGTATCACCTCAGAGCAGGAGGTTGAACTCAGGGGAGGGTGATGACTTGTGGGCTGTCACAGAGTGGGCCTGCAGGACTTCCCTGGGCATGCCATGGTCACAGTGGCATCCTGGGTCCCTGATGCTCCAATACACTCCTCCCCTCCCTTCCCCATCCGGGCAGTGTGTCCTTGTTATCACTGAGCCCCTCCCAGGTGCCCAGAGGGCACGGATCAGCCAAGCAGGAGCAGGTGTGGCAGGCGCATCCTGTACCATAAAGTGGGTGTGTTCAGGGTCTTCTCCCTGGGACAGGACTGCTAGTAGGAACTGGGCCCAGGGAAGAGCGAGAGGGGATCAATCTGTTGGCCAGAGAGCAGGGGGGGCGGCGTTGGGGAAGGGGCAGAGGCGTCAGTCAGCCTTGATTTCTGTAACAGGTGCTGCCTGGCCCTGGGAGGACCCCCTCCTCCAGGCTTCTGGGGCCTGCAGAGGGAGCAGGTTGGGGGCTCCCCCTCCCGCCCTCTGCCAGCTTTGGGATCTGCAGAAACAGCCCCTCTATTGTTCCGGCTCCAGTTGGAGGGTGGGCCGCTGCTTTCACGCCTGTGAGGGCCAGCAGCTGCTGCCTGGTCTTCGGGGGCTGCCCAGCCTCCAAGGCAGCACTCCCCTGGGCCCCCCGGCCCCAGCTGCCTAGCCCCTAATTAGGCAGAGACGAGATTTGCTCCCTGATCTATTTCCCACCAGCTAATTGTATACATCCCTGTGGGACTGAGAGGCAGAAACCTGGCTGCTCTCTTGTGTCCTAGAGGTGATGGGCCTGGGGAAGCCCCTGCCCACTGGACCTCAGTGAGTCTTTTGGCCGAGGGTGGCCTTTGCTGCAGGAGCTATGGTTGATGACAGGGTCTGCTTGTGCCACTGAGGCATTCAGGAGGACAGGGAGATCACCCCTGTCCTGCCTGACAGCCTGGGCCTGGGCAGCAGACAGGGTGAGGTCCTTGAACGCCAGGGTTTCAGGGTAGGATAGGGACCAGGAGAGAGTGTGGTGACCCACAGGCACACATGTGGGAAGGGAAGGCTAGAGGTGTGGGGGTCCATCTGGACCTGAGACAGAAGGCCCTGTCCAGGATTTTAAAAATGCAATACTATTTTTCAAATAATACCCTCATATGTTTCCCCCACCATTTTCTGCCTGCCTTCCTTCCTTCTTTATTTTTTTTTTTTTGATACCAGGGATTCAACTCAGGGGCACTCGACCACTGAGCCCCATCCCCAGCCCTATTTTGTATTTTATTTAGAGACAGGGTCTCACTGAGTTGCTTAGTGCCTCACAGTTGCTGAGGCTGGCTTTGAACTCGCGATCCTCCTGCCTCAGCCTCCCCAGCTGCTGGGATGAAAGGCGTGGGCCACCACCACGCCCAGCTCCCTCAGCATTTTATTAAGAAAAAATTCAAACATAAAGTTGAAAGAATTACTCATATACCCACCTGCTGGTGCACAATTGTTAACATTTTGCTGTCCTTTTCTATCAAGAATCCACCCATCTAGCCATCCTTCTGCCCTTCCATTAATACCACTTTTTCTTTTTTTAAAGCTTTTCAAAGTTGCAAGCAGTGGGTTTCACTCCAGGCACTTGAGTATGGGTATCGTTAGCTAGAGTTCAATATTGGCTCCTGTTCCCTTTTTTTTTTTTCTTCCTGGAGTTAAAATTTACATACAGCGAAATGCACAGCTCTTCAATGTATCGCTTGCTAAGTTTAGACAAGTGCATGCTATACCCCAAACCCCAGTCGGGATATGAAACATCATCATCACCTTGGGAAGTTCCCTGGTGTCCTTCTCTTGCCAATTCCTGCCTCTGCCTCACGGACATCTCTATATATCTATATAAACTCAACAGCATGAGCCTGGCACTGTGGTGCACACTGATAATCCTAGTGACTTAGGAGGCCGAGGCAGGAGGATCCCAAGTTCAAGGCCAGCCTCAGAAGTTTAGCAAGGCCCTGAGCAACTTAGACCCTGTCTCAAAATAAAAAAATAAAAAGTGCTGGGGATGTGGCTCAGTGATTAAGTGCCCCTGGCCCATAAAAAGCAAATAAAAACAAACAAATAAATAAATAGCACTAATAAAAACATTCTCTGGCTCCATCCTTTTCTCCCAGCCCTACTTCCCCAAGGCAACCACCTTCAGCTCTTGAAGCCATTCCTCCTGGTACTTTCCTCCATACAGATTTTTTTTTAAATTTATTTTTTTAGTTTTAGGTACACACAATGTCTTTATGTTCCTTTTATGTGGTGCTGAGGGTCAAACCCAGTGCCTCATGCATGCCAGGTGAGCGCTTACCACTGAGCCCCAGCCCCAGCCCTTTCCTCCCTATTTTTAAGTCACCTGCTTGTCTTGCTGTTGGTTCATTTCAGGAGACCAAGGCTGAGCGATGTTCCAGTCTGATGTCTTCAGTGTGGCTTCTGCCGTTTGACTGTGTGGCTCTGAATCTGCCCTTACTGGCCATAGGACCTCAGGCCTCCTCGTGCCTCAGTTTTCTCATTGGTAAAATGAGAATAATAAGAGCATCTAGGTTTTCTGGATTGTCAGGAGGATCACCGTGCGGAGTGCTGAGCGCAGTGGATGTGCCTGTAAGGGGTCAAAGCGCTTTTTGTATTACTATCAAGGGAGGTTGAGCGTCCCTCACCCCTTCTCCCTTCCATTCTACGTTGATCACACTTTTTTGTTACGAGAACATTTAGTGTAATCTATATCATGACTTTATAAATACTGCTTCTCCTGCTAAGCCATGCCGCACATTTTGGTGGCATTTCCTGGGTCACTACCTGCTTTGCTTGTCCCTTTGCTTGGGTTGTCTGACTCTCTCCCCCACAGTTACCTCCCACACAGCAGCTGAGTTACTGAAGCTGATCTCCTTCCTGAAACTCTTCAAGTGCTTCCCCTTTTCTCTTTAGGGTTGGAGCCAAGTCCTTCAATAGAACTTCTTGCAAGCTCTGTAAGGTCAGCATCTGTGAACACCCACTGTGTGCCTCACTGGGTTCTGGGCACTGTGGTAGCCAGACACCCACGTGCATCCCCAAGAGGGATAAGAGCTGAAGCTGTGGCCCCTGCTCCCCTCATCCACCCCTGGTCTGTCCACTTACCTGGGAACCCCTCTGCCGGTCTGGGAATCTCAGGCCCTTAGGGAGCCCATATCCATTCACATAGAAAATGGGGACCATTTAGTCATGCTACAACCACCCCCTGCCCACGTGGCTCGGGGCTGTGCTGTGGTGTGTATGTTTGGGTCTCCCGTCCCTCCAGGGGCTCACAGAGGCCTGGGGGAGAGTGTCGAGGCTGTGGGTGGCTGGGGAGCAGGGGAGGAAGGGAGCGGCTTCTCAGAGGAGGGACCATTGGAGGGGCCTGATGGGTCGTGGGTCAGGGGTCAGCTGAGAACTTCAGGTTCCATGCTTGAGGGAGGAATTGCTGAGCTGGCCAGGTCGATCTGGGGAGCCTGAGATGGGCAAGATAGCAGGGGTTGACCACGAGAAGAAGTGATGGAGCAGGGAAGGATTCCATATGCAGGCATGTGCAAAGGCCCTGTGCTGAGAATAGGAGATTCCAGGAACAGCAAAGGTGGAGCACGAGGGTGAGGGCCAGGTCGTGTGGAGCTCTGGGAGCCCTGGAACAATGTGAGGGTCTAACTTAACAGGATGCTTGGACTAAAACCCAGCAGCCTAAC